CACCACCTCTGCGCCGCTTGACCGCTCGCGCCACCCGCCTCATCTACTTGACCACGCCAGCCCGCGCTCCAGCGGTTCGATCTCCGCCGCTCGATCCACCGCCTTCGTCGCCCAAAGCATCCACGCCGTCGCCGCTTTCGCATCGTCCACGAAACCGCCGCTGCCGCCAGCCGAGCTCCCCTTGACCGCCAAGGTCAGTTCTCCCCTCCCCAAACCGACCTCACCTCCGCTATAAAACCAAGCCACCCCAAACCCCTTCCTCTCTCGTTTTCACTCGCCTCAGTCCTCACACCCACCGCGCCATTGCCGCCGAACCACCGTCGCCGCCTTGTTGCTGCTCGTCCCGCTCTCGCCGTTGTCGTCCGTTGCCGAGCACCGGAGGAGCCGGTGCGTGCGTGGACGCGTGACGAGGAGCTCCGGGCACCACCTCTCCCTCCCTTCTTCCCCGGCCGCGCCCTCTCAGTGCCGTGCCGCCTCGGCGTCGCGACCACCTCGCCGCGACACCGACCGCGCCGCCAACGCTGCCTCCTCTTCGTTGGTGAGCTCCCCACCATAATCCTCCTCCTGCCGTGCGATGCGCCGCGCCCGCCGCCGCTCGCCATAGCTCGCCATGCGCTCTTGCTCTGTCCCGGAGGCCGCCTCTCGTCGCCAGCCAATCTCGGTGCCGCTCCGTCCAATCCGACGCCGGAAACGGATTCCTTGAACCCCGGAGATGCTCCCACCCCTTTGAATCGAACCCTCGTCGTCTCGTCGTGTTTTCCCCTTTTTGCTCTCCGGTGGTTGCCGCGCCGCAATCCATCGTCGTCGGCTCCTCTCCCGTCGATTCCTCTCGCTGCCACGCTCCCGGGGATCCCCTTGACCTCCCCCTGGCTGCCCCAAGGCCGTCGGTCTTCTCCCTTGTCTCCGCGCCGTGTCGCCGCTTCCGCCGCCGCATAACGCTGCCGTGCGTGCGCCGCCGGTGACCATCGGGTCCCGCGTCACCGCGTGCGCGTCGCAACACCATACCGGTTCGGCTAAGCCCGAGCCCGCGCACCCTTCGCTCTTCTCGCGCGCGGCCACGTCGGCGTGCCGGCGAGATTGGCCGCCGCCGCCGGCCGTCGTCGCGCGTCCTCTTCCTGATCCGAGCCGTGGAATGAGTTCCCCTTCTCCTCCTCCTGCCGCCAGTGCTAGCCGCCCCTTCCGGCTCGCCGCCGTTCGCCGGATCCCGCCGCGCGCCGTGGGCCGTCCAATGAGCCGCCCGGCCTCCTCCCTCGCCCGTGCCAACGTGGCTGTCCACGAGGACGCCACATCTACCTGCCCGGCCCCGCGGAGACCGGTCAAAGGTCTCCCGGTCCACCGATCCAACGCGCCGCCTTGCGTGCACCCCGCTCGCGTGAGCCGTGTCGTCGCCTTGTGGGTCCCGCCTCGCGCCCGACTCGGTGGACCGCGTCCATCGGCTTGCGTCGCGTGGGCCGCGCCTCGTTCGGCCTTGGGCCGCCTCCCTCCCGCGCGCCGGCCCGCTCGCCTCGGCCGCGCCCGCGCATCTCTTCGGGCCGCGCCCCTTCGCTCGGCCCAAGTCCAATTAACATCCCTCCATCCTTTTCTTTTTCCAGGGATTTAATAAATCCTTTTTCCTTTGTCCCATAAATCAATTCCTTATTCCAAAATTCCATAAACCATTTCCTTTGGTCCCGCATGACAGTGACTGTCAATAATATTCTTGAGAATATTATTTCTACAAATTCCATAAACCATTTCTCCTATTCCAGAAACTCCAATTAAACTTCCAAAATTCATATCACCCAATTCGCAACTCCGATTGACTCCGCTCAACTTCCAGTATTCCCATAAAATTGAGATCTATTTAATGGCACTACTAATTAGTCTAAATAGGATCTTTCTTTTGGTCTTTTGTTTAGGTTTTCGATTGTTTGCGTATAGTTGCGGTTACCGGATTTTCGTCGATCGCGGGTTTTCTTGAAGATTCGTGAAGCTTCGTGAAGACTTTGAGCAAGGCAATTCACCCTTTGATCAATTGCCCCTATAACTAAAAAGTCATTATTATTTTGTTTGCAACTTGCATTATTAGAATCACACACTTAACTTGCTTGGCCTCGGTTTGCGTGCCAAACCGACGGACCTACCCAGTAGTCGCACTAATTCCCGTAGGTCGTACTACCCTGATTCCTTGTCGCTCCACCCTTGTGGTACCTCGGTATTCGTGTTCTCTGAGCGCGTATACCAAATATCCCACATACACCGCTGTTTGTCGAAAACTTGGGGAATGGGTTTGAGAAGCCTTCAAAACCCGACATGTGGTGTCGGTGTGTTTGAAAATAAAATGAATTGTGAAAACTTGCGATGCGGGGGTTGTGCCTATGTGGCACTGTCCCGTATTCGCATATAAGGACCGATTCCTGTGGGAAACTCATCGAACATAATCAAAGTGCAACCACAAGGTGGAATGGGACACCCTGGCCAAGTAACTAGTCGGTTCAGGGAAACCTCGCATGCCAATAGTTGGGAACGCCGGGACGGGGTCGGTTGGAGCCAAACCGGGTTCCTGGTAATGCAAGAACGAGAAGCTTGCTGAATTACCGATCGAGGTGGTTGGGGTTTGATTTGTGAACGCCTAAAATGGCCTATGTTTATGTGAGGATTTGATCCTTCTATGTGGCATGAGGTATCCCTGGGTCGGCTTGGGAAAGGCTTTGTCGCGAACCTCTGACACCGGCCAGTGTCTAGAGTAAGTTCGTGTCTTGTGGGTAAAGTGTACCCCTCTGCAGAGGTTAACTAACTGTTCGAACAGCCGTGCCCACAGTCATGGGCGGATGTGAGGTGGTTCCCATTGCGTAGATTTGTTTGCCTGTGCTTTGTGAAAAGTTATTGTGGTGTGGGAATCGTAACCAGAATCAGCCTATGTGGCAGATGGATGACCTGAGTGGTCAGAAACGAATCTGTGTGATTCGGGATGTCCGTGGGCATCATAGACTAGGCTTCCCGAGTGGAAGCGGATTGCTTTGCTGCTGGGCAGCTGGACTCTGGGAGTCCAAGAAAATGAAAAAGGCTCTGGGAGCCGATTAATCAAGTGGAATGGCTCTGGGAGCCGAGAAGTAATGATCTGACCCGGGAGGTCGGTACATTACTAAATGAGCTGTTGAAAAACATCTCTTAAAGTCGAATCGAGACGCAAGTCTCTTTTCGGCCCAAACTTAGAAAGAAATAAATCACTTAGTGATTTCAAAAAGTCTTCAAATAAAAGATTTGCAAAACGACCTTGCCTCTCTTCCAAGCTTGCATTAAACACCTAAGTTCCCGTGACTTGCTGAGTACGAAAGTACTCACCCTTGCTCTATATAAATATATATATATATAGTTCCTCCGCCCTGAAGAGAAGATAAAGTGAAGTGAAGATTAGGGTTTCGTCCTGGTTCCCAGCCGTCGCCTGTGGTGTTGGGTGTTAGACCGTTGGTTCCGCTGCTGCTGTTGTTGTTGGTGTTCGCCTCGTCCGTGTCGTCGGTTGTATTCTCGGGCTGTCTGAGCTGCAACCTAAGTTAAGGTAAATAAGTCATCTATTTATTTTAAGGATTGCTATGATTCATATTTGTCACCGTGGGTACCAGCACTATGTCCTGGGACTGGTACCGAGATCGCGGTTTCGTAGGAAGCGGTTCACGCCGTTTTCCCTACGACACGCTCCTGTCAGGTGCCGTTGTACGGCGGTATCAGATTGGGGTGTGACAGCTAGTTTGTAATAATTAGCTGTAGCTCTTTCGAGTAAAGGCCGGGATGCTATTTCATTCCATTATCTAAAGAAAAGTTTATCCGTTTGGTAATATTGTAGTACGAGTTAAGGGTGTGTTCGGAGGTGGGTGTTGGGAACCATCTCCCATGCATGAAAAACGGAGCTATCCATTAACACGTGATTAATTAAGTATTTGTTAACTTTTTTAAAAAATGGATTAATTTGATTATTTTTAAACAACTTTCATATAAAAACTTTTTTAAAAAAGCACACTATTTAGTAGTTTGAAAAACATGCACGTGAAAAACGAGAAGAGGGGTTGGGAAACTATAGTAGTAGGACTCAATTATCCGTACAAGTAGCGTGTGATGCAGGGGAGGAATAGCGTGCTGGGATAAAGGCCGGCGAAGCAGACGGCTGGCCAAGCCCAAGCAGCTAGCGTGCGTAGCGTAACAACGACGTCGTTCGTCCGAGGCGCCGCGCGCTGGCAGGGCGCAGCACAGCGACCGGCAACGTGTACAGGCGCGAGGCTGATCGAGGCGGCGCCGGATTGGGCCACACACACGCTTGCATATCATCGTATCGTGGGCCATCACGTGGCGGCGGCGCCATCGATCCTGCAGAGCCGCGGCCCGCGATTCACCTGGGCTAGCCGCGAACCACCCCGTGAACTAGCGGCACCGTCCTGCCCAGGCCGCCGCGCCGCGTGCACAGCTTGCGCGAAAGAACGAGCGCATCGCACCATGCGCGCGCGTGGGGCGCCTCTCCACGAGCGACGGCTGATGAGTCGCCCACAGTCCCACATGCATATCCCTCCCCTACCCGCCGGCCGCCACCCTGCGTGCCACGCTTGTATGGAGATTTGATAATTTGACACTTCCGTTTTCAGAGTCTCTTCTTGTGATGCTGTCGTAAACCTGGCGACGATCGACTACGCATAGCAGGGTCGTTTTAGTGCTTACGTGGTTAGCATGTGGTTTCTGTCATTTTTTTTACTTTATTCCTTCTTAATATATTTGGATGGTCCCCTTGGCCTTAAAAAAAAGAAAAAAATATTTAATATCCTAATCTACATTTATTTACTATGATCTCACAAGTCACTCTCAAAAATTACCAATTAAAGCAAGTCGACAACGATAAAAGTGCCAAATTATCAAATTTCTTGTAGCAACGGATATTTGATACGCAGCCCAGCTGATTGTATCCATGGTTTGTTACCAAATGGAACAGCTCCTCATTCCACAGACCACAGCACAGTATATATGTTCAAGAGAGAGAGCCACAAAGGAGGCACAACGTATGCACAGTATAGATGTTAACCTGCAGTTTTGGCCACAAAAATACATTGCACAATACAACGAAATGTCTATCAGTTAAAAGCAAAAAATAGCCGCCCTAACGCTTTACAGACTCCCAAAAATACAGACTGCCTTTACGTTTGATCTTTCTTCAGTTCTTTTACGCTCTTTCTCTGCAGTCAAATGTAAGGGTGCGGCCGTTTCTAAGATCTCAAGAATGTTACAAGCACAGACGTGTATATCTGGATGTACAAGTTGCCAACGCCTAAAACATCTAGTCAACTCAAAGCCTCGATCCCTTCGTGAATTCGCTGCTTCTCCATGTTTTTTAGTTTCCAAGTTAATGAACTTTCTCATCAACAATTGGACAACTCGTGCCGTCGATCCAACAGTATATGGTAGTATAGCAATGGTTAACTGGTAGCAGCAGAGTTAGCAGAAGCAATGGCTGTTGCATTTTAGACCTTACTCACAGGGTTCAGCTGAAAAATCTGGCTCATCCGGCTTTCTTAGCTTAGGCAACTCTTTCATGTTCTGAGGTCCTTTCCTACTCCCACTCATGATCTTCATAGCGAGATTCTGCTTAGGTGGCGAGTCATCTTCACCATTTGAGTCATCTGATCTCATGGAGCAGAATGACTCCCTCATGCTCAGGTCCCTTGCCATCTTCCTCCTCTTGTATCGCCGCCAAGCAGCTTGGATGAAGCATGAGGCCCAAGTTCTCCAGTGGTGCGAGTAGTACCGGAAAGTGTGTTGCAATCTTTTGCTGTGCAGACGCCTGAATTGGTTTGCAACAAACTTGAGATCCTCAGCTTGGAGTGCGAATGCCTCAACTTCTATGAGTGCCTTCACTGTCCGAGTGGATGACGGCAAATTAACAGTAGGTTTGGGGACAAGAGCCCACCCAAGCAGTTCCTCGCCGCAGAAATCACCGGATTTCAGGGTAGTTGAATTGAAGAAGCCAGTGCGGCCACCATTTGTTGTAGAGCTTTCGAGTTTCCCACGAATGATGAAGAGCATCTCGGTCACTGGATCACCCTCACGGACAATGTATGTGCCCTGTGTGCACAACGATGATACAAGACGCTCACAGATGGCGTCCAAAAGTTGATTGTCCATCTGGGAGAAGAAAGGAACCTGAAATATTGTGGTAGGTAAAGACAAAATTAGCACACCGGTCAAGTATAAGGCAAACCTGTAGTGTAAATTGCCCAAGAAATGCATTTTTTTAAAAAAAAGAAGTGTATATTTGGACAGTTTCAAAATAGTTGTTTGGAATCTCCAGAATATTTGGACCCTGCGGTAACTATGCAAACTAACAATCTCAGACTGCCTATTTCTACACTTAATTAGGATCAAGGGCCATCTATTGTCAAAACCCGGCACCACTAGCTTAACTAGGATCAAATAGTTACTGCTGCTATATAAGAATCCAATCACTTCTAGTTCATTGTGACATTGCCAAATATGATGCTAAGATCAATTCTAATATAAATGAAGGAATCAAGTAATTGCAACCAGTAAATATTCCATTGATGAGGTAGGTCAAGGGGCAAATTTAGTGAGTACATGAGAAACTCCAGGTATATACTGAGACCAAAACAGCACTAAAACTAACTATATACTCTAATAATCTTTTAAAAGAGAAGAGGACCAGTATATACAATAACTTTCTAGTACCATTCATTGCTTAAAAGAAAAACATCAAAAGATCGCACAACAGTTTCAAATATTTACTTGGGTGTATTTTATAAAAGCATGCAAAAGTATTTACCCGGCGAACAAGACCCAAGCAAAGGTGACGTTTAATGTCACGACGAAGATCTGCAGGAAGAGCCTGTAATATTGATTCTTCATTCACTCCTCGAGTTGCGAGCCACTTGTACTGGATAAACCGTCTCACCCTTTCTCGTAGTTCATGTGGGAGTTGACGATGCCTCATCCACTCCTCTGTATCTCTTTGTTTTAATCTCCATTCCTCAACCCTCACAGTGATAGATTGCAAGTAGGTCTGGAAAAATAGTAGCAGTGTATAAAAAAGTGCCAAAAGAATCAATCGTAGTGTAGACATGATCACTAAACATTTAAAAATTACCTGTACATTTCCAATCAAATGTGCAAACAAGACGAGACCAAGTACTGCCAAGAATATACAGTATAGAGTCTCACCAATATAGGTACTCACAGTAATAGTCTGGCCATAGCAACTGTTGCAAAGGAAGAGGAGGATATAGCTCGTTAGAAAATGAATATAGATCTTGAAAATTGGTAAAGTAATGATCCCATTAAAAGAACTAGGCTAAACTTCCATATTTAATTTACTGCTTTGCTTGACACAAAAATCTCCGTGATTCCCATGAAATTTCTGAACACACACATTTCACAAGGAAACTGTAAACTAAGTTCCTTCTTATAGCGCTGTAGTTTGACACGAAGATGTTTTGACAAGGAAATACCTCAGATTCTGCAAACCCCACCAAAGGGAATAGAAATACTTCATCAAGAAACGTTGCCCTGGGGCTTGATTAAACAATGCAGGCTGAAACATGCCATAATCAAAACTGATTGAAGTGTTAGTTGCGTCACAGGTATTGAAGATAGCAGTTTTGCTTGCCCAGTTTTGATTTGGTATCACATCACAATCTAGAAATTTAATATCACAGCCAGTTTCATTCTTGCAATTGCTCTTCCAGCAGGCAGTTTGGCGATCGACAGATAGCAAATACCATAGAGCACCTAGTACCTGAAAGAAGATGAATGGAGATCGTGAAAATTTGGAGACATTATAGCTATGGAGTTAAAGACTTGCAAATACATCTAATTCGACATTTGCTGAACACCAATATTTGAGATGTAGAAAACATTTCATGTAAACGCTTACGAATACCATACATGACTGGCTATCATGTAAAGCAACATATTGTATGCAGCCCCTTGCCAAGCAGTCTTTGCGACAACTCCAGTAGTTTTGACAATTTCATAAGTCAAGGGGAATATGAGGTATAGTCTTGGAAAATACTGAGCAAGAACTATCAGCACCAGAATATTGTTGTTATGCTCATCAGTGGAATACTTAATAGCTGGTATCACAAACCAGATTAAGATCTGCATAAATGTAAAGATACATAAGCAGCAGGCAAAGTCAAAATCGAAGATTCCTCCATTTGAAGGAAAGAGCAATATAAACAGCTGCACAAATAAAATTCAGTTATTTAGTGCTTTTAGGTTTGACGATGTACAAAATTGCCCTATGAAGCATAGAGAACCTAGAAATCCCGATGAGTAAGATTATAACCATTGAAAATCAGCTCAAACAAACTGGAGATGCTATGGCAGGTTGCTGCATTTTGGAGCCCATTGTAGTAAACTTATCCAGTGGAACATTAATATGAGGTTCAATTTTAGCTTACAGGAATTCACAAGAAAAATCAAGAGACAATACATGTGGTCGGCACTGATGGTAAAATAATAGTTATTAAATTCATAATGCATCATATGAAAATGTTTCAGTTTAGTGATTGGCTCTTAAACTATGAAGAATATTTGCCAAGATTGAACATGATGATTCCCTAGGATTTTCATGCTGACTTAGAGACAGGATGATTGAGCAAGTGACACTTTTTTTTTTTTTTGAGAATACGCAGAACATGCGTATCTTTTGTATTAAGCGAGGGGAAAATTATTTTGTCCTTAGTGTGGTCTGGGCAGCACTAACACAGTTACAAATCATTATTTATCCACAAGATACTATAGTAGCATCTGCTGTAAAGAAACTTAATTGAGGTGATCCACAATAGAACTTCACGATTGATATTAGCACAGTAGCATATTTATGTCCGCATGCAGATAAATGAACATAAGACAACATCAGAGCTAACAAATATACTCAGTTATGAAAACGACCTAACAATAATGATCATTAATACTGGTTATACTCCAGTTGACAAGAATAAAAGGAAGAGCGCCAAGTTACCTGTGGTAAAGGCAATGCAGCCACTGCATCGACTACGAAGTCAGATCTCAAATATTGCCACGCAATTTCCTTTGGATCCGTGATAAGGTCTCCTCTTCCAAATACCCTCATGGTTGAGCTCGGATTAATATATGCCGTTCTAAACTTTATTATAATGTGAGTGAAATATAGTAAATCAGAGATTGATCGGAAGAATGTAACAGTGATGGCTAAATGCCTGTCTGTCCCAATACACGAATTTGGGGTGCCATAGGAGATTTTTGGCACGTAGAAGTACAGAGGGTCTATAAATAGAGCAACGAAGCACGAAAAAAGGAAAATGTGGTTCCATGTCAAGATGAAGTCACTTGATGGGTCCAAAATCCTTTTGTACCACAGCTCTTCTCCTGGCACAAAAATTTTGTTCTTTCCTGAGCTTGCCACACCAAGTTTACTAGCAGCGAACCCTGCCTGTTTCTGGTGAGTTGGTATAGTTGGTTTTGCCTTCTCATCATAGAACCTGTGAATTACAGCCTCACATAAATGTTTGAACTCTACATCATGAATATTTTCGTATGTCCATCCAAAACAGTGAAAATAAGAAAAATAATGTTGGGAATGAAATAGAACCTCCCATTGTAAACTAAATCACATAAAGAACTGACAGTTAGAACAGTTTTTGTACATTAACACAATTTAATTCTAATATCAATTTTGGTTGAAGCCCTATATTTCTTATCCACGAAAGGTTAATCTTTCCTGGCCAGATCAACTAAAAGGGATGAAAACCTTCATCATACCATGCTATAGAATAAATCGAATGGATTAATTTGGGTTCTTAAAAGGAGTCTATGCTCTAAAAAACAGGTCAAATACATAAATTGTTTGCAGAGTAACAGGAAATTAGAAAGCTGGCACAATCCAGGCTAAAGCGTCCTTCCTCCTAGAACAACAAGAAAAAGCTCACAGCAAATGCCAAATCACTCGCAGGTCGCAGAGCCTGTTGGATCTCTAAGAGCTGAAAAGCTAAAACTAGACCAAAGAAGAGCTTTTGCTTTGCTCGTGCAGGCTCACCTCACGGTTCTCTGCCTCTTGAGCGCCATCTCATCGTCCACCTTCCCCGCCCCAAACATGGCATCAGCTACAGCGAGTCAGCGAGCAAGAACTCGTCAACCACACCGCGCAGCAGCCTTGGCAGCTTCACCGGCCGAATCTGGCGGGGAGGCGGCCAAAGACCGATCTTCTGCGCAGCATCGGCACGAGGAGGGTGGTCAGCGCAGCGGTGGGGATCGTAGAGCCTGGAGGAAGCAGAAACTCCTCCCCGTGGATGCTCCCCACCTTGGGCTTAATTACTTTATTAGTCGCCGCTAATCGATGGCTTTGGGGGTTAGTGGTGCACTTGTTACTGTGGTTAATGGTAAGCAAGCGAGAGTTGTTCAGATTCTTTTTTTTTCTTTTTCTTTCTTCTTTGGCGATTATCAGAAGGGAGAGATGAGAAGGTGGGTGGTAGGTGGTCGTCGAGGCGAAGAAGGGTATGAGAAATAAAATGAGTTTTTTTTCTGATCCGAAATGATTTAACTGACCGGAAAAAGAACACTTTGAATGTGTAGTAGTAGTAGACAAGACTATAAATAGTACTAGGCGAAAGTCATCAGCATCCATCAGGTCCTGGCTGAAGAAAAAAAGAGCAGAAAAGGCCGTGGAAACAACGGGTGGCGACATGTTGAGGCTAACGGTTTGGACCCCCAATGACGGCATCTGTCAGAGGAAAGCCGTGAGGTGACTGAGGTGCTATTGTTTGGTTGGTTGTCTTGCCATCTCTAGATCGCTGGCATGTTTCAGCCGAGCTGCTGCAGGCAAATGGTGTGGCATTAACCATCTGGCATATGCGATGCTGCTGCACACTTGCCTAGTACTCCCTGCGTTTCAGGTTAGGGTATAAGACGAAAGTGCTTTAAATTTGATTAAGTTTGTAGAAAAAAATAGTAACAATTTTAACCCAAGAAGAATTATTATGAAAATATATTTAATTATTGATTTGATGAAACTAATTTAGTATTATAAATATTACTATATTTGTCTATAAACATAGTCAAACTTAAAACAGTTCAATTTTAACCATAGTCAAAATATCTTATAACCTGAAATAGAGGGGCAGTAGCTATTTGTCCCCAACTCCCCGAGTGGTCACCGCAAAATGGCTTGATTAGAGCTAGAGGTCAACGAAAGCGAATGGACGGACAAACACAGACACAGGTTTGTGCAAAGCGAATGGACGGACAAACACAGACACAGGTTTGTGCTGCTTAGTACTACTGCATGATGCCCGCGGCTCTTTTGACCCTTTTTTCTGCCGTGGTGCGTCCCAGGAAGGGCAGCAAAAAGGACCAGATTCCGTTTCATTAGGGCACCCGCAATGATTATCTATAGGCTCTCTACAAGAGATCCATGTCAGCATATTTTCCTACTTGAAAGAGATTAAATGAAGAGAGAGCAAAGCTATCTACTAACCTGGAGATAGTTTATAGAAAAAAAAACGAGGCAATGCATTAGAGAGTTATAGATACCCATATAGACATACTATTGAGGTAGTTTACTTTAATCTAGTCTATTGCTGAGATGTACATGTTTTATAGAGAACATCTTACTTTACCATTGCGGGTGCTCTTAGTACTGCAAGGAGTCAAGGACTACTACTAGTGTTGCATTGTTGCTCGTCTAAATCGTAATGATTTTGGATGACGAAAAGCGCATGATCGATCGATCCGTTGGACCGAGCGTGACACGCTAAACCGCATAGCAAAAGCAGATGCCATAGACACAGTCACTCAGATATTTACAAGCAGTGCCTTCATGGTAGTATACAACTACCTACGTCGGCGTCTCCGAGCGCTGTGCACTGTCGCTGCAGCAAACGCCTCGCGCGTGCGCAGAAAACGCGCGGCGCCACACACGGGCGGGCGGGGCCGCGGGCGGAGGACGGACGGGCACGCGATTCGCAAGGGAAGTTTCCCGCGGACGCACGGACGGGAGGGGTGATGGCGATCGCGAGCAAATTGCCGAGCCGAGGACGCGGCGCGGCCATCTGCGGCTATGCGCGTTCCTGGCGCGCGGGCGCACGAGGGGAAGTCCACCTACGAGTCACAAAAAGAATGGAGGGATCTCACGCGCGTCCACGTCGTGAGTCGTGACGTGCTCTCCTTCCTCGGGATCCCCACCGGCGCCTCGTGCGCACGACAGCTGGGGAATAGAGAAACTGGACTTGGCGGTGGCGAGTGGGCGACTCTGCTTGTTGTTTATGCACTCGGAGGCAGCTCGATTCGCTCGTCCCGTGCTGGCGGTTAAACAATGTTCAAAACCAACTAACGAATCGTCATCTGGTACAAACTAGTACTCCCTCCATTCCTAAATGATCTTCGTATTACCAAAAATAAAAGTTCCAATTTGATCATCGTATTTCGTTAGGAAGCGGCAGAAATCATGGACGGCGCTTCGTATTAAGCAGCACTGCATACAAAGTTATGTTGATCGATGGGGTAGTAACTGCTCCTTGCTTTTGCTGGTGAAATAGGTAGATCATTTAGGTGGTGTTTGGGAACGAGGGACTAAAGTTTAATCCCTCTCCACCTTAGGAATGAAGGGAGTACTACTCCACCTTATGCACTCGTAGAGCCTGGAGGAAGCAGAAACTCCTCCCCGTGGATGCTCCCCACCTTGGGCTTAATTACTTTATTAGTCGCCGCTAATCGATGGCTTTGGGGGTTAGTGGTGCACTTGTTACTGTGGTTAATGGTAAGCAAGCGAGAGTTGTTCAGATTCTTTTTTTTTCTTTTTCTCTCTTCTTTGGCGATTATCAGAAGGGAGAGATGAGAAGGTGGGTGGTAGGTGGTCGTCGAGGGGAAGAAGGGTATGAGAAATAAAATGAGTTTTTTTTTCTGATCCGAAATGATTTAACTGACCGGGAAAAGAACACTTTGAATGTGTAGTAGTAGTAGACAAGACTGTTACTAGTACTAGGCGAAAGTCATCAGCATCCATCAGGTCCTGGCTGAAGAAAAAAAGAGCAGAAAAGGCCGTGGAAACAACGGGTGGCGACATGTCGAGGCTAACGGTTTGGACCCCCAATGACGACATCTGTCAGAGGAAAGCCGTGAGGTGACTGAGGTGCCATTGTTTGGTTGGTTGTCTTGCCATCTCTAGATCGCTGGCACGTTCCAGCCGAGCTGCTGCAGGCAAATGGTGTGGCATTAACCATCTGGCATATGCGATGCTGCTGCACACTTGCCTAGTACTCCCTGCGTTTCAGGTTAGGGTATAAGACGAAAGTGCTTTAAATTTGATTAAGTTTGTAGAGAAAAATAGTAACAATTTTAACCCAAGAAGAATTATTATGAAAATATATTTAATTATTGATTTGATGAAACTAATTTAGTATTATAAATATTACTATATTTGTCTATAAACATAGTCAAACTTAAAACAGTTCAATTTTGTACATAGTCAAAATATCTTATAACCTGAAATGGAGGGGCAGTAGCTATTTGTCCCCAACTCCCCAAGTGGTCACCGCAAAATGGCTTGATTAGAGCTAGAGGTCAACGAAAGCGAATGGACGGACAAACACAGACACAGGTTTGTGCTGCTTAGTACTACTGCATGATGCCCGCGGCTCTTTTGACCCTTTTTTCTGCCGTGGTGCGTCCCAGAAAGGGCAGCAAAAGGGACCAGATTCCGTTTCATTAGGGCACCCGCAATGATTATCTATAGGCTCTCTACAAGAGATCCATGTCAGCATATTTTCCTACTTGAAAAAGATTAAATGAAGAGAGAGCAAAGCTATCTACTAACCTGGAGATAGTCTATAGAGAAAAAACGAGGCAATGCATTAGAGAGTTATAGATACCCATATAGACATACTATTGAGGTAGTTTACTTTAATCTAGTCTATTGCTGAGATGTACATGTTTTATAGAGAACATCTTACTTTACCATTGCGGGTGCTCTTAGTACTGCAAGGAGTCAAGGACTACTACTAGTGTTGCATTGTTGCTCGTCTAAATCGTAATGATTTTGGATGACGAAAAGCGCATGATCGATCGATCCGTTGGACCGAGCGTGACACGCTAAACCGCATAGCAAAAGCAGATGCCATAGACACAGTCACTCAGATATTTACAAGCAGTGCCTTCATGGTAGTATACAACTACCTACGTCGGCGTCTCCGAGCGCTGTGCACTGTCGCTGCAGCAAACGCCTCGCGCGTGCGCAGAAAACGCGCGGCGCCACACACGGGCGGGCGGGGCCGCGGGCGGAGGACGGACGGGCACGCGATTCGCAAGGGAAGTTTCCCGCGGACGCACGGACGGGAGGGGTGATGGCGATCGCGAGCAAATTGCCGAGCCGAGGACGCGGCGCGGCCATCTGCGGCTATGCGCGTTCCTGGCGCGCGGGCGCACGAGGGGAAGTCCACCTACGAGTCACAAAAAGAATGGAGGGATCTCACGCGCGTCCACGTCGTGAGTCGTGACGTGCTCTCCTTCCTCGGGATCCCCACCGGCGCCTCGTGCGCGCGACAGCTGGGGAATAGAGAAACTGGACTTGGCGGTGGCGAGTGGGCGACTCTGCTTGTTGTTTATGCACTCGGAGGCAGCTCGATTCGCTCGTCCCGTGCTGGCGGTTAAACAATGTTCAAAACCAACTAACGAATCGTCATCTGGTACAAACTAGTACTCCCTCCATTCCTAAATGATCTTCGTATTACCAAAAATAAAAGTTCCAATTTGATCATCGTATTTCGTTAGGAAGCGGCAGAAATCATGGACGGCACTTCGTATTAAGCAGCACTGCATACAAAGTTATGTTGATCGATGGGGTAGTAACTGCTCCTTGCTTTTGCTGGTGAAATAGGTAGATCATTTAGGTGGTGTTTAGGAATTAGGAACTAAAGTTTAATCCCTCTCCACCTTAGGAATGAAGGGAGTACTACTCCACTACTTACTCTATTACTCACTCCGTCCCATAATATAAGGGATTTTAAATTTTTGCTTGCACTGTTTGACCACTCAAAAAATTTATGCAAATATAAACGACGAAAAGTTATGCTTAAAGTACTTTAGATAATAAAGCAAGTCAAAAAAAATAATAATTCTAAAATTTTTTGAATAAGACGAGTAATCAAATAGTACAAACAAAAACTTAAAATCCCTTGTATTATGGGACGGAGGGAGTACTACAAATCAACGAATCGTCATCTGGCGCAGTAGCATACTGAACACACTCGTTGGTTCTGTTTAGAAATCGATCTCTTGTTATCTAGTTCATTTGGCAGTGAGGTTGCCTGGTTGCTGATTGGATATTCAGGCGAGCATCTTGTGACAGATAGACACTGTGATGAGGGGAGTAGAGTAAATTGTGTTTACGAAGAAGCGCGTCATCTGACAGTCACTAGCACAAGAGCACGACTGCTTTAACATATTTGCACGCCAACCTTCACTAGATTAATTTGATTTATCTGCAACTAGACAGCATCTCTTCGTTTGCTAAACGTATCAACTACTAGTATCAGCCTGATACTAGTAGTTGATACGAAAAAAAAGCAACTCTGATTAGAGCCGTGATAGAGGCCAGGGTAGAGAACATGTGGGCGTGCGCTATCGTGTGGTGTGCCCGTGCAAGAAATTATAATGGATATGAAAAAAATCCGACCAGGGTTTACCTCTTCTTGAGGAAATATCCCAAGTGTTGTATTGTTAACACATCTATTTGGTTACGCGAGAGGTATCTCAGAATATCATATTTGACCAAAGAAAGAAATAAAAGGAAGCAAGCACAGACAGTTATCAGCAAGAACTCCGATTAACTATACCATACGTCCATAACTGACTCAGGAACAGCAAACTCACATCCAAATCTCTTCCAGGAAACATTTCTTTGGCTTATTTTGAGCTAACTTTGTTATAGGAAAAATATAATCACTAGAGAGGACGGAACACACCGAACATGGGAATTTCACAACATCTAGTGGTAGGGGATGCTACAGCTTCTCTAGTTTTTGATCCAGATTCTGAGAAGCTATAGTTATAGAATCTAGAAAATAAACTAGAAACCAGAAACTGGGAAACAAAGCTTCCCAGATTCTGAGAAATTGGCTACCAACCAGTTGCTTCTCAGATAAGCTCCCCAAACAGACCCTAATTTATGGTATGGATCTCTACGGTTCCAGAACCAGACAAGCAACATATACTTAGTACAGATATATTAGATGAGTGACGTACAGCACATAAATATGAAATGGATATGAACTGAGGCTGTTATTAGCTCTAGGTCAAAAGAGTAATTCACAACAATTGAGACATGAAGTGCTGGCCACTTGTTCTGAACGGTTGAGATACAAATAAAAGTAATAAACCACATAAACAGAAAGAAAAAAAAAACATATTTTGTCTAATGGCCGCCGGTAGGAAGAATGCAGAACGAGAATATTTCATCTGAAGGTCCCATATATAGAGGCTACTATTATGGCGATGCAGTGCAGGAAGAAGGCCGACAGATGCGCAGAGTGAAGGAAAAACCAGAAAGAATAAAGCCAAGGGGTGGAGTCGGTGGAACCGCTTAAAAGGTAGTCTCTGCCTCTTGCGGAAGCCAACCCAGCAAATTCCTTTTGTCGCTGAATTACAGGCTGCAGATGAATGCGATGTTTTAACCCAACGACTGACATGAAGATTTATTTTGCTGTATCAATCTCTTGATGCATGGTTCTATTAAAAAAATGGTCTATTTACTTGCACGAGCTGCACTAATCACTAGTTAGTATTGCTCAAAATGTTATCAATTTTATGAGAGGAAATATGTTACTAATTTGTGACGATGCAGCATCTTCAACGAAGAGTGCCAACCACAACGAGGCATCATAGGCAGGAAACAATGGAAGATTCTCTTTTGCTTGCAACTTCACATGAAGCAGGCAACACGCTCGAGGAATGAAGAGTGCAGAACAAAACCATGCAGACAGAGCCGGTAGTTGGCTGAGTCGCTTAAGCAGAATGATCCCTCTTTAGCACATAGTAGAAAGGTAATATGTCTTAGTTGCATATTACATCCATCCCATAAGTTTTTTAACGTCAGAAATAAGAGGCTGAAATATCAAGGCAGATAAAGTAGTAAACCTTAATTGAAGTCAATCAGTTGATGCCAGTCTTAAAGCATTCATGGCATGCAAGCCAAAGAGCAGACGGTCAAGCACAGGCATCAGGGTCTAGCTCCTGCTACGGCGGTACCTGCCACCATCTCTTCTGGAAAAAAGGTGAAAAGCAGGCATGCATAAGAATGATAAAGAATATATGATTTATAAAGCCATACAAGACGAGAATTGTAAAATTAACAAAATATGCCTTACCCATCAGCATAAGGAGAACCACCTCGGCCACGTGGTGACCTGCTGTAGCTGCGCCCACGAACTGGTGAAACACTGCGGCGCCTTGGAGAGCGATCACGAGGACTGTAGCTTCTGTTCGCAGAATAATTAGCTCAGTTCCTTTCTTTTACATCATATATTACAATAAATTCAACAACAAAGTAGGTGTTTAATAGAACAAGTGGATTAACTGCAAGTAAAAAGTGGATCACGCGAAGCGTATTATGAGACAAGAGTTATTGATGTGTAAGTCCCCACCTTTAACACAAAATATCAAAAAAAAATTGGGCATGGAAAATAAAGTTGACACCAAACTAACCATACTACTATATTTATATACAACATTGAGCACTATAAAGTTACCTTCTACCATAGGTCGGGCTCTTGCGGTATTGAGGGCTGCGACTGCGGCTGCGACTCCTGCTACGACGCTTTCCACTACCCAGACCTCCAGGACCAATACGCAAACGACATTCACGAGCAAAGTGCCCAGTTTCACCACACTCATAGCACTTCATCTCAGACCCACCATGTCGATCACGACCTCCGCGGCTACTTGAGTTCCGTGAGAGCTCAACTCTCCATCCATTCTTGCCTATTAAAAGAGGAACCACGCATTTGAACAAATCCTGATAATGCATAAATTAATTCTAACTACACAGGGACAAAGCTTGCACAACCTATGAAGATGATTGGTCAGGATGCATTTTAATACAATAGGATAAAAGAAATTCAAGAACTCGAGATAAGAGACATTGTCAAACAGATAAAATTTCCTGGCCACTCAAAGCAGGGGTGGGCATTCGGTCTAGACCGAAATTTCGGTCCGGTTAGTTCGGTCTTTTAAAAATTCGGTCTTTGGAAACAGGAAACCGAAGTTGTTAAGCAAAAATTACTAACCGCTACTTCGGTTAACCGAAAATTCGGTTCGGTCTTCGGTCTAAACCGAGGTGCCCGAACCAGAACGTGCGTCCTCTTCAATCTTCTCGTCTTCTTGCTCCTGAAAACCTCCATGGCTCCACCTCAGTCACATGGGACGGATATCCACTAGCATGGTGACAAGTGCTGGCGGGACGGAAGGCGACGACGCGGCAGAAATCAGCCGCGCGACGCAGACGGCACGCGATGGCGCAGCGGCCGGCATGCGGCTGTGCAGCAGGATCAGCAAGCCAGCAGCCTGTGGCCTCCTTATGGCTTCCACGTGACCACACGATTGCATGCGACACTGCGGCGACGCCGGCGAGCAGCAGCATGCGGCAGCACTGCAGAAGATGGCGGCGTGGAAGGAAGGGGACATGCGATGCGACGAGATAAGTGGTGCGCCGGCGGCGCGTGGCCTAACTAGGGTTAGGAGTGCTTCGGTCAATGGAATGGTGGGGTCATGGGGATTGGGTCATTGACGTGGATTTGGGCCTCACCTTGTTGTTGGGCTGTTTTGGTCCATAGGATGGTCACGTTGTCTGCTTAGTGATTGTATTGATTTGGTTTCTTCGGTCCTCGGTTTCTTCGGGTAGTATTGCACGATGACCGAATCTTTCGAAGTTTGTTCGGTCTTTCAGATGTCACACCCGAACAAATGACCGATGCCCGAGAGTTCAGTCTTTTCGGGTTCGGTTTCGGTTTTTTCGGGTTTGGTCTTCGGTTATCGGTTTTAATGCCCACCCCTAACTCAAAGCTTGATTCAAAAAGAGCAAAAAGGACAAGAAGTCTACCTGTATTGCTAATTTGACATATAAAAGGTCATCAAAATAGAACAAAAGAATTTTCTGACAAACTTCAGACAGTGTGCAGAAAAAACACCGTTACATACCATCTAAATCACGGAGTGCATCCTCAGCATCCCTCTTGTCATCAAAATCGATAAATGCAAAACCAGGTGGTTTACGGGCAACCCAGACACTGCATGGAAAAATACACTTGAAAATTACATCAACAAACATACCCGCAACGTCCAAATAACTTATAGTACAAGGGGTACCACTATATTGAGTCAGGAATAGATGGCCATCCAATTAGCTAAGAATTTTTTATTAAAAAAAAGGTAAAAGGACATAGAGTTCTGTCACACTTAAAACAACACATATCATCAATCCAAACGTAGGACTATCATGGGATGCACTATTTTCCTCCTGGTACACGATTAATGAACTTCTGTCACTAAAATACCATAAGACTGATGTTATAATGCAAGCAGAATATAGTTGCATGAATATGCACAAGTCAGTTATGGCATTATGCACAGCTGGGATGAACTATTACCCTTCCGGCACACAATTAATGAACTAGTCTATCCAAAAACTACACAAGACTAATGCAGCACAATGCAAAAACCAAACACCCAATTAGATGAAGTGGAAAAATTGCCTAGGCAGAAACTGACCTTCGCAGAACTCCAAACACACGAAACTCATCTTCAAGTTCCCCGGAAGTCACTCGGGGATCCAAGTTGCCAACATACAAGCGGGCCATCGTGAACAAATCCCTGAAGTAAGAAAGGAACCAATTATAGCTCTTCCCTAAATATATTTCTACATGAATGCAAGAGGACCAAAAGATAAATGTTACACCTTCAGACCATAAACTATGACTTGCTACAAGCTAATTCAAGAAGCTTTTCAAGCTTTTTACTAAGAGTGCAGTTCTGAATTCATTTCATCCACATAGTAGTAAAGAGCTAGGTGTCAGAAATCTGAAGCTGATCGACACAACATGAAACAGCCATAATAGTCCACAGTATCGACTTTGGAGATTCTTACCTATTGCAGTAATCCTTAACCCAACCTCGGACCTTTCAGGTTTAATCAGTACTACCTCCGTCCCAAAATAAGTGCAGCCATAAATATGCGTGCTCGGCGTTTTGACCATCCGTCTTATTTGAAAATTTTATAAAAAATATTTAAAAAAATAGTCACACATAAAGTACTATTCATGTTTTATCATCTAATAACAATAAAAATACTAATCATAATCTTTTTTCAAATAAGACGAACGGTCAATCGTTGGATATGAACAGTGCTAAAACTGCACTTATTTTGGGCCAGAGGGAGTATGAGTTAAAAAGAACATATATCGCTTAAAGTGAAGCATCACAGATTCTCCACAGGACAGCAACACAGAACTAACAACATCCAATTTCATACCCTTGCGCACAAACCAAAAATAGCCCAACCAAAAGTAGCCCTAATCGAGAGCCGCCCAAAAAAGAAAAAAAAATCACATCCCGTCACGAGATGAGCTTTCCTACGGTTCCTCAACTAGAACCGGCTGACGGATCGAACCACATAAGCAACGAAACCGACGGAATCAAAGTGGAGATGGGTTTCTAGGGTTCCGAAAGCGGAGGGGATCGAGGGTCGTGGACACTCAACGCATGAGGTGAAACTTCAAGGTGCATGGAGTTACCTGCGCGGGAAGGGTGCGAGCGACGATGGCGTGTGGACTTGGCACCGGCAAGTCCCCGCCGCGGCGGCCGCGGCGGTGGCGGTGGCGGCGGCGCTCTAGGGGCGAGGAGACCTCCGCTCCCGAGCGATACGAGGGGGAGGAGAGTGACGCGGCCAGCGTGGTGGTCGAGCGGAGCCGATATATATTGGGCCGCTGGTTTCACGCGTGGCCTCGGATGGGCCTAGCGGATGCTATCCATGAATTTCCGTGGGCTTCACGGCCCAACAGGTTGCCTATTTTTCTTTTGGAATAAGTTCATTTTGCCTCCTTCAACTCATGTCCGACGTCCTGCTGCTCCTGTCGCTCCACTGAGGTCCCGCCGCCGCCGCTCCCGCTGCCTCGCCGTTCCGGCGAGGTCCCGTCGCTCCGGCGAGCTCCCGCCATCCGCCTCGCCGCTCTCTTCATCTCGCTCGTCGTCGAGAATAAAGAGGGAGGAGATGAGTAACTGACATGTAGGCTCAAAATTTCTTTTCCTTTCTATTTAGGTTTCTTTTTACTTTAGTGCTACGTAAGCGCCACGTCGATGCACATAGGATAAAGACCAAGTCAACCCGTCACGTAAGTGCTAGGTAAGAGAAAACCGCCTCCGAAACCACCGAGGGAGTCGATTTGCAACGGTCTGGTTTTACGGTTGAGGGGTGCGATTCAACCAGACGCATGAGTCGAGGGAGATAAAGTAGACTTATTACTTTTCTTTTCTCTTGACCCCCTGGGCGAAGCAACTGCCAAGTGGGCCCTCACCTCGTCGTCCCCGCCGCGTCCGGGCGCGTCGCGTCGGGCGCACGCACGCACCAACCGACCATCACGGCGCCACCGCGGCCACGTGGCGTTCTGTACTTATACCCCCCTCTCCCGCGATCTCACTTTCCCCTCATCTCCGCTCCATTCCCCCCTCCCGTGTCGCAGCGAGAAGCATCCATCGGAATTCTCGTCGACCACCGCAACCGCCATGGGCGGCGCCCACAGCCGCGAGGACCTCGACCTCACCTCCTCCGACGACGAGGACGACGACGAGGAGTACGACGCCCAGACCGCCACCTCCGCCGCCTCTCGAGAGGACATCCTCCGGACCTCTACCCCCTCCTCCCTCGAGTTCCTCGACGCGAAGCTGAAAGCGCTCGATCTCAAGTACCAGGCGCCGAACGCGGCGAAGCTGTACCTCCACGTCGGCGGCGCCTCCGCCTCCGCGCGCTGGGTGCCGGCCGAGCGGCGGGCGACCTACGCCTTCGTCGACAAGGCGACGGCGGCGGGCGACAGCGATTGTGGCGGCCCGAGGTGGGTTCTGGAGGTTGGTCCGGGTCCCAGGGTCTCCGCCCCCGTCGGCCCGGCGCTACAGCTCAAGGCGCTCCCCGCGCAGCGCCGGGCCGATTTCGCCGCGGGCGGCTCCGTCTGGGCGCTGCGGCTGCCGACCGACGCCGCCTTCCGCCGATTCCGGCAGGAGTACGACCGGTGCCTGTTCGAGAACACGTATGGCGTCGAGGCCACGGATGAGGGCCGGAAGGAGGTGTTCGGCGCTGACTTCGCCGCGTGGGCGCGCCCCGGTGAGTCCGACGACGCCGTCTGGGCCGACGCAGAGGACTCCTTCACCCCTCCCGTTGCGACCCCGGCGAGAGACCTGCTCGAGGAGTTCGAGGAGGAGGCCGGGGACGGCAGCATCCAGAGCCTCGCGCTGGGCGCGCTTGACAACAGCTTCTTGGTTGGAGGGTCAGGGATACAGGTGGTCAAGAATTTCCGGCATGGCGTGCACGGCAAGGGCGTCTCTGTGAGGATATCTGATGGCCGTGGTGGTGGGAACGCGTACATGACACCGCAGAAGGCTCTGCTTATGCGTGGCGAGACGAATATGCTTCTGATGAGCCCTGGAGAGACTGGCACTCGCCATTCCAATGGCGTCCATCATGTTGATATAGAGACTGGCAAGGTTGTGGCTCAGTGGAGGTTTGAGAAGGATGGAACTGACATCACAATGCGAGACATCGCCAACGACAGTAAGGGCGCGCAGCTGGAACCCTCTGGATCAACCTTCTTAGGATTGGATGACAACCGGCTATGCCGGTGGGATATGAGGGATTCCAGGGGCAGGGTGCAAACAATTGGGAGCTCATCTGAGTCACCGGTGCTGCAATGGTCGCAGGGCCATCAGTTCTCAAGGGGCACCAATTTCCAATGCTTTGCAAGTACAGGGGATGGTTCGATTGTGGTTGGTTCTGTGGATGGCAAGATTAGGCTCTATTCCAAGAGTTCGATGCGGATGGCGAAGACAGCATTCCCAGGGCTTGGATCACCAATCACACATGTTGATGTTACTTATGATGGGAAGTGGATTCTGGGCACTACTGATACATATTTGATCTTGATCTGTACCATCTTTAAGGACAAGGATGGTAAAGAGAAGACAGGATTCAGTGGGCGTATGGGAAATAGGATTGCAGCACCAAGATTGCTGAAGCTCTCCCCATTGGATTCAATTTTGGCAGGGTCCGAGAACAAATTCCATGGCGGGCAGTTCTCTTGGGTAAGTGTGAATTTCCTATTTTGTACAGCATATTGTTTTTCATAATTGAGATAGAACACACGGTAGTGAATGTTCCTATTTTGTAATCTAGTAAAGCCAAACAGAATGTTGCTTCATATGTGCATGCTAGCAAACCATCTACACTTATCTATCTTGTCTATAGTAAAAGTTTGTTTTCACTTATGATCAGTCAGTGCAAGCGTTTCATATCCAAAATGGCTGCTTGTCAGTAATTTGCTGTGCCTATAATACAATCTGACCAGGAAAATGTGTTCACTCTATGTCTCTATCTCCTATGTATGTTAATTGACACATTAATATCTTGAAATAATCATGCTGTACCTTTTGGGAGAAACTGGTAAAGTTATGATCCATCCCAGTTTAGGGTAGTACGGCTAATAAATATGTTTTCAGTTAATTCATTGGTAGCAAGTATGTTCAATATTTACATAAGCTTGTTAAATTAAAAACAAGCTTATTGACTGCTTGTTTGGAACATTTGGTTGCTTGAAGTTCCAATTCTCAGCTTGTCAAGGGGCTAATGAGTAGAACTAAAGTAAAGAACCCTGCACCTTAGGCCCTAGCTCTGTTTTTAACGGATCAACCTGTGACCTTGTCATAAGAGTGTATGAAGTAATTGCAGTAAATCAGTTGTTTCACTTGCGTCAATCATGTTGATTTTGTTCTAGTGGCAATCAGTTGTTTCACTTACGTCAATCGTGCATTATAAAAAGTTTCATCCTGCAGTTCTGTTATGTCCATTTGGCATTTGGCATTTGCCATGTTAACTTTCTTGCTAAATTAATGCCTACATGCTGCATAATTATTCAATTTGTTAAGTATATGTCCTTATGTATGTTCCTCTATATGTTCTGATTTTCCCAGGTAACAGAGAATGGGAAGCAAGAAAAGCATCTTGTTGCGACAGTTGGCAAATTTAGTGTCATTTGGAACTTTCAGCAGGTGAAGGACAGCAACCATGAGTGCTACCGCGATCAGGAAGGGCTCAAGAGCTGCTATTGTTACAAAGTTGTCCTGAAAGACGAATCCATTGTTGACAGCCGTTTCATGCACGAGAAATTTGCAACAACCGACTCCCCTGAGGCTCCTCTGGTGGTGGCAACACCCATGAAAGTCAGCTCCTTCAGTTTAGCCAATAGACGATTACACTGACAGTCTTATTTTGCTTTGCGTATCATGGTGGGAGAATCTACTGGTTTTTGTGTAGCTCACTGCTGTTCCTTTCGTGGTGCGAGAATCTACAGGTTCACTGCTGTTCCTATTGGTTCATTTGTTACTTGATTTTGGTGTAGCAGGCATGTTGATAATACTAGTACTCTTTGTGAAGATTGCTGGAGTTGTAATACTTGTTAGTTGTAACTAGGTTTCGGTGTACTCTTTGTAAATGTTGACGATAGCGTTCTGGGTGAAGACCTAATCTCTTCTGGGACTGGAGTTGTAACTAATCTGCGTTTTTATGGGGCTGTTTGGTTCCCAGCCACACTTTACCATTACTTGCCAACAAAAGTTGCCACACCTTGCCTAAGGTGAGGTGATCAAATTGTTAGCCACAACTTACTAAGCCTAAGGGAATCTTGCCACACTTTTTTGAGCCATTGACACGTGGGACCTAATTTGTTGGAGGGGAATCTTGTCACAACTGTGGCTACAACCAAACACCTGTCAAATTTGCCTAACCTTAGGTGTGGCAAAGTGTGGCTTGCAACCAAACACACCCTATGTCTATGAAAGTGAGAATATATGAATATTTGAAAGCAATATGTGTCTATCCTCTTATCTGAATGCTTGTACTTGTTCCTCCCTTCCGTCCATTTATATTTTAACTTCTGCCCAGTGAATCTTGACATGACGTGAATCACAACATATTGCTGATTAGTTCAGTTCATAGTCCAGAAACCAAATAGTGGAGTAAGAGCCATATACAGTTGCTGGTGATGTTAATGGGCCATGGAGGCCCATATTCACCCACGGTGGCAGCAGTGGCCTGACCCACATCATGTAAGTACATGATGGTAATGGGCCATAGAGGCCCATACGTACCCACATTGGCAGCAGTGTCCTGGCCCACATCAGTACAGTAATCCTCGTGCAGAACAATCGAATGGCCCGGACTCCCGGTTAAAAGGATGCACTCACAACATCTCAAATGGCAGTGCGATGCACTGTGCGCTGGTGTGTCCATATCGACGTGTCGTCGAGATCTCGTTCCATTGCCCTCCAATAATACGAACTCCACTCCTGTAGCCGTTGTAGGACGTCCTCCAAGGCTCCAAATCCACAACCTCCGGCCACTATTGAAAGCCGTACCTCATCCATGCCACGAACAGCTACTCACGTGTACTACTAGTACTACTCCTATCTTTCTCTCCTTTTTTTTCTGTTGCCCTCACGCACACGATGACACGAATAATCGTGAATCATGGTGATGGAGCCAAGTGTCATCACCGCTAATAATGGCGAGATGATCGATAACCAACTCCCGTTTCCAACTTTCCATGTACTAGTAAACGCCATCGACAAAGGCACAAGCATAACCACCGGCACTGCGATGCTACGCGACGCGACGCAGTGCAGCCGTGCAGCGCGTTTTGCTACCAACCATAGGGTTTAGTGTGCGTGTCCGGACCAGAAAATATCCAACACATCGATCACCTATCCACCATTAGCTCGATTGGAGATCGCGCAAGGCGAGACGCGATTAAATGACGAAGCCTTTGGACGTCCTGCTCGTACGCAACAGAGGACTAGTAGAAGAAGCTTAAGAGCATCCCAGCAGATCATTTAAATTTGGACTTCTATATTTCTATTTGAATGGTCATCCAAAAAAGATTCCTCCTCTATACCTTTACCCACTCCAATAAATCATCCATATTACAGCATTCATATCACACTATTCTATATTTTACTAATATTTTTTAACTACCCATATATATCTAATGATTTTTTAAGAGGCATATATTTACAATGGTTTGAATAGGTGTTGGTTCGATTTAATTGCAGTTACCACTTTGAGAACACTGTGTACCACCTTTAATCCTCTTTTAAAACCACATCAGCCACATTTACCTTATCCTCTCGCTAAAAACAAAACAAAACAAAACAAAATCCACCAAATCCATCGCTCCTGGGAGACCAACAGATAGTGAGAGGCGGGCGGAGGAGCGACGGAGGGGATGCGGCAGGATGGCGCGGCCGACGGGGGCAGGGCGCCATGGGCGGAGGTACAGCGGTGCAGGTGGCAGGGTGGCGCGGCGACACGGACGGAGTCGCGATGGGCAACGCAAGCGAAGAAGCAGCGACGCCGGTTGATTTGCAGTGGGGGCGGCACGGGCGGAGGCCGGATGGTGGCGGGGCCTCCACTCCGGCGATCTCCAGCACGAGCGAAGGAGCAGCGGCGCCTGCAGTGGGGGCGGCGCAGGCGGAGTCCGGATGGTGGCGGCGCGCGGCGGAGGAGCAGTGGCGGGAGCAGTGGGGCGGCGCGGACGGCGGGGCCTCCACTCCGGCGATCTCCAACTGCAGACCCGGTATGTCCATCCTCTCTATTCCCCTTGGCACAGTTCGGATGGTGGCGCGAGTTCGTCGGAGCTGGGCAGTTGGGGGAATGGCGTGAGGAGAGAGAAACGCCAAATATGGCATGGAGAGGGCTTGGTTTGGAGGACATCTAAAATGGCGTGTGTAATGGAGACTCTGCTGGACCGTGTTTTTTCACCTCCATACGCCAAACATGGGATGGATGTCCGGATGGAAGCTCTGCTGGGCTTGCTCTAATTTCGATCAGCGGAGGGCAGGTGAGGTGAGGTGCGTGTTGTGTGTGTGGGTGATCTTTGGCGCGCCTCGTCGGCGATATTCGTACCAACAACTCCTTAGATCCGCAAAAGATTATGGCAAATTATTGATCGGTAATTAGCTCCTAGCAATTTGAAGAAGATGAGAAAGCCAGCTTTTAGCTTTTAGTTTTTTTTAGTGAGAAATTTTATGATCCTAGAAAAAGTATTTCGATGTATTTAAAGTTTAGACTAATTTTTATCAAATTTTACATTAGAAAGTGTGATACATTCTGGTAAATTTAAGGATGATAAAATTACCTTTTTTTTAATTCAATAACTATTTTTTTACATAATGAAATAAAAAGAAAAACTGTTTAGAGATTTATTATTATTATTTTTTTGGGAGAAGTTCTTAAAAACACCATCGATACTACTACCTCCGTTCCATAATATAACAACATAGTATTGGATGTGACGTATTCTATTACTACGTATTTGAATATAGGTTTCATGGGAGTACGATCGAGTAGCTGTTTCCAAGAGCCTTATCCTTTCGTTGGAGAAAGCATGATTTTTCCATGCTTTTGGTCCCGTACTAGCCCGGAATTGTGTCATGTACATGGGCTACTGTGATGTCCTTCCAGGAGGCTAGACAAGTGGGCTGGCTTTGGGCCCATTCGGCTAGGGAGAAGGAGACTAGAAAAGAGGCAAAGCAGCCAGCAGCCAGGGTCATCGATGAATCAATTACCAGAACGCCTCAGACGATAGCTTCTTCCTCCTTGCTGCTGCTTCCCCTCTCAATTCCTATTCTCTAGTCCCAATCTCCTGCTTCCTCTTGTCTGATCTCTCTTCCTAGACTATACCTCTCTTTCTCCTCAATTTTGTATCCCTAAACACTTATATTCTTGAGTAGATTGTAATATATCGGTGGCATTTATGTGAGAGATTTGGTGTGATTGTGTTGGTTCGTGACAATATGGTATCAGAGCAGTCAATTCGTGGGGTTTCTGGTGTGGAGATGAAGTGGGAGAGCGCTGGTGGTCAGAGGAACTGCCAACAACTTGGTGGTGGTGTCTTTGGAGGAGATGCCCACCACCTGTTCGATGAAATGTCGACCTGTCCAAGAGGCGATTCAGCTGCTGTCCTTCGCGTCACCGTGAGCCAGATCATATATCCAGTGACATCTGAGGTGTTGCATCAAGTGTACAATACCTATGGAGCAGTGGCGGTGCAGGTTCTTGCAGTGAGCACATGGCAAGTCAAGGCTCTTGTGTCATTTATGTCCAGCCATGACGCGGAGAGGGCTCGGTCCGCCACCCACGGTCGCGACATCTACGACGGGGGCTGCTTAATGGATGTGCAGCACGTCCAGATGTTCCCTGGAGATGGCGCCACCACCACGCACACCACCTGTTTGACAATGGTACCAAGTAGCGCCACCGCCAGGCCAGCGGCCAAGAGTACTGCTGCTACACCAGAACGCGTGTTCCCTGCTACAACAGCTTCATCTATACCCTCAATTACATCAGCAGCCATGGTGACATCGGTTCCTTTCAACGAGACCAAGAAGGCTGAGACTGACATGGACAAGGCGGTAGAGAACTTAGACAAGACCATTCAAGACCTGTGCACCAAGATCGATCGGATGCTGGAGGCATTTCGCCACACCAAGGTGGATTTATCCTTGAGCAAGGATTCCACTAGAGATGTGGCAGCGTTGAGCGCCAACACTGATCCAACTTCCATCGCATTGGAGGTCAGTACAGAGGCCGGCTCAACTAACCATGTTGACACAGCCAAGCTTGGCATGGGAACAACCATCGAGTGTTCAATGAAGTGTGAGAACCAGTTGGCTGATGATGATGGTGGCAAAGACATGGCCAAGGAGGAGTGGATGGAGCTCATGGAAGTAGATACCAAGTTCACCACTATGTATTTATGCTTCAGAGATCCATTGTTAATCATCAATGCAATTCCTCCCAGGAACTGGAGTTGGTGCTTGAGCCGTGACTACTTTGGAGTTGTCGGCCTCTCTTTCGTTTCATTGAAATTGGAAGTACTCTATGGTTGCTTTGACCGGAGCTCAGAATACACAGCTAGCCCTCCACCAGTACCACCTTGGAGAGCAGCAATTCCACGGAACAAAGCTGAGATGACCTCAGGTTCTCGGCCGTTACCATGGCTTGATCCACAGCTTTGTCAAGGCAGCGGAGGCGTGGTGGTAAAACTCTTACAACCCTGGCCGCCACTTATTCAAACAAGTGTTTGAGCTGAAATTGAAACACTGAATTTATATGGTGAGTCTCATCAAGTCTCCTTGAACTACAGCGTTGCCCAATTCATGAGTAGAACAATTAATTCCACTGAGGGCTTGCTGCAAAATCTGATTGTTGGATGGTGTATTTGGTATGAGATATGTCTCTCTGGTGCCTTTAGGAAGGCCTATCAGCACACACATCATTCAACCTATGGTTGGGCATATGGGGATCATGAATTGTTCTTGCTGCTGATGCTGATTTCCCATCTATCACCCGATGCATGGTGTGATTGTTTGTTCAGTGGAGCTAATGTTGATGGTAATTGCACTTGCAAGTCACATGAGAGACGTACCCATCGCCATGCTCGGTTCTATACTATTCCAATTTCATTTCAGGTTCAGAGTAACAACAATGATGTACTAGATGATACTTCTTGGACTCAATTTGGATCAAACAATGGTGAGGCATTTAGGGTTTCAACAAGAAAGTTGGTCAACTTGCAACCTTGGCCTCCTCCTTCGCAATGGAGGAGTGAGGTATTCAGTTTGTGTGCAGCAGGAGGGCAAGGGCTCAATTTTTCTTGGAAGTGTATATCTGAAGGGAAACTAATGTTATGGACAAATGTGAAAGTTATTAGAAGAGAATATACAAACAAGGTGTTATGGCTGTCAGTTGCCAATTCTTGGGATTTAATATGGGCAGTGCTACAACAGTTGCTATGTACATCTGAGCTTATTCTTCAATGGAATAATTAACATGGGCAGACACATGAGCTATTGTTACAAAGGGAGCAGCTGAAACTTGGTGCAGTCCATCTCAGTTTGGAAGCTAGCACTTTCAGTAAGAATTCTCGTGGAATAGAACTGGTTAAATGTTCAGAGAGATGCCTCATTTGTTTAGTTTGTGAGGACAGCATAGTCTTGCACACATGGGCCTATCGAGTGGTTAAATTAGTTGATGCAAGATTGGTTGGTGATCAAGGTAAAACCATACAATTTTTAGCAATTTGGGAGTTTGCAAACAAAGAAGTAGCTCTCATTCAGACAAAGAAGCATATGCATGTTTCTCAGCCCACTGATCTCAATATTTGCATGTTACATCTGGGCTCTCATGGAGTATATGCTGATAGTAGTGGTGAAGAAGGCGTGAAGGCTTGGTGGTTGAGGCAGCAAAAGCATGGTAGAGAGTGTGGTTGTAATGCTCAGGTTTTATGTATGTTGGATAAGTGGATTCAACAGTGGGCAGGGTCTACATCAGATGGTTCGAAGGTCATCAAACAATTGTTCTGGGATTCTGCCCAACAAGGCATTTCCCTGCAGGTACCTTGGGATCTTGGGGGCATTAATCTGGCGAGTCAGTTGCATCGGCTTGGGGACAAGCCGATTCTTAACGGGGGAAGAATGTCATGTACATGGCCTGCTGTGATGTCTTTCCAGGAGGCTAGACAAGTGGGCTGGCTTTGGGCCCATTCGGCTAGGGAGAAGGAGACTAGAAAAGAGGCAAAGCAGCCAGCAGCCAGCAGCCAGGGTCATCGATGAATCAATTACCAGAACGCCTCAGACGATAGCTTCTTCCTCCTCCTTGCTGCTGCTTCCCCTCTCAATTCCTACTCTCTAGTCCCAATCTCCTGCTTCCTCTTGTCTGATCTCTCTTCTCAAACTATACCTCTCTTTCTCCTCAATTTTGTATCCCTAAACACTTATATTCTTGAGTGGATTGTAATATATCGGTGGCATTTATGTGAGAGATTTGGTGTGATTGTGTTGGTTCGTGACAAATTGCCGTGGTAATTTAAGGTCGGAGTTAGTTATCGGTTGCTACTGTTTTGGTTTGCCTTGGATTCGTGCATATTGATAGCAGCAGGAACGCATGTTTAACCCCAAATTATGCACGACACAAGACACGCATGCAGTGTCCTCTCTCTGCTTCCTTTTGTCCCTGGTCCTCACCTAGCTTGTGTGACCAAACTACAAGCTGGAGTAGCTAGCTATTGCGTGCAGTCCAGTTACTCCGTTTCATTGGTCGATGCTAAATCTAGTTATATATCTAGATGAAGAAATTAGTACAGTACCCAATATAATATACAATGCAATTATGCAAGGAGCCGTACGATCTCCTCCCAATTATTTCTGCACGACATGGAAATACCAATTAGACCATGCAAGGAGAGCCTGCATCCCAGCACCTGTCTCCTAAGCATCCTGCATATACACACACACACACACCTATTTTGTTCGAGCAAACTCGATTATTGGTTTGACCTGATTTAATTTATTCGATAAAGTCATGCCAAAACGAGCCGATATTAACGGAGACCACAGGAGCTGACCAATATATACGGGTACACTTACAAATGACCTGTTGACTTTGTGAATGTATAGCATTCTCAGGGGCAGAATGGTCATGACCCAGATCAGCAACGAAAGGTAGTAGTGGTGCCAACAACTACTACCAAGTCTACAATGGTAGTAGTGCATACGTGTGTGCCAGTAATTTAATATTGTTATGGATTAGGCACAGAAATGTGCTGGTAGTTGCCTCTGGAGCAAGATTTGCAGATATGAATTAAAGTAGATTTACTCCTACGTTCCAACAACTTCATTTCTTCGGTTATTTTCTTAATGGACTTCTAATTCGGTACGGTCTCGCGCGTGCAATATATAATTCGCAATTAGTTCGCCACAAAACGGGAAGAGATAAGATCGCCATCAACAAACCGAAGCCCTATACCCCGGATAACATGGCGTATTCTGTGCAAAAAAGTACCCATGTTTCGATGGCATTGGTGGCCTGAAACATGCTGAGCCGGAATGCTGCCAAACATTCCTGGAGTAAAGGATTTGAACATGCTAATCAAGTATAGGATGGTCCAATGAATCCGTACTGTTTTTATACCATAACCTACTCTTTGATCTGATCCACAACGACGACGTCGCCGAAATGAAAAGGGAATTGATCCTGATCGAACTGTCTAAGCAATTGCCAACCGAAATTCGCCAGGGTCAAACCCATACAATCACGGCAAAGATCTCGCGATGGATTGAAGAAGATCTGCAGAGAAAGCAAAAGCAACACCTGTACCCACTGCCCTCATCCTGTCATCCCAGCAGCAGCTGCCGCACTATAGCCACAGCATCATTATCCCCAATGTGAGTATGTCGCTAGCTAGCTAATCCCCCTTTTAGCCTTTGCGATAATAGCAGTAGTACAGACGATCGAGTAGCATACGATATTCTTATCTCCGATCGTTGGATGCGACCAATCATTCGACATCTCGACCACCGGGCGATACTACGGCTACGTCATGTTCCTTTCGTGTGCAGTGTAGTGTACTCACTCGCGAGTCGCGACTCGTGTAGTCGTGTGTAGTGGTTGTGTTGTGGTCGAACGACATGAGTGAAAAAACGGCGAGTACGACGACGTCGCCGTTGCTGGCCAAGTGGCCATGCAATGCAACCAGTGTACGCACCGCGACGAAATCCATCGCGAGCAATGCGACGAGTTGACCGGAACGCAAGCGGATTACCGGGCAGTGTCGGCGCGGAGATGTCGGGAGAACGAGGGCCCCGATCGGTCGAAAATTTCAAGCATTCCGGCGCAGAAAAGCGCGCGCGCGGCGCGTCCCGCGAGTCAAAGACTTGGGCGCGGCGCGGCGCGGCGGCCTGGCCACGGCGCGACATGGCACGGCGCTGCAATGGCATGGAGTCCAAGGCAAGAATCGCATACGCGCCGTGCGCTGTCGCCGAGCCGAGGCGCACACATGGCAGCGCAGCGCAGCGCAGCGCATGCATGGTGGTCGAGTCGAGTGCGCTGGTCTTTTTCTCCAGCGAAATGTTCGCATCGCACACAGCAGCAGCAGCAGAAATCGCACGATATATTTCTGACGAGCATTGTTGCGTGGTGGTGTCGTTGGACGACACCTCACCTTCTAGCACGTCTGGAAATAGCTCCGAGTCATCAGCCTTTCAGGTGAGACATGGAGTGCCATCCTTTTTAAGCAATCTGGTACAGTTGGGAAGGGGCCCCAAGAGATCTATCGTGATCGTAGCACCACCATCCGTCCAAGTGTCCATCTGATGAAATCTACTTCGTACTCTTTTTTTGGAGAGGATAAAAGTGGTGATGGTGAGGAGATAGTAGTTTTCTGAGTTGCTCGTCAACATCATACATCATCCTCACCAAAAAAATCATGGAAGCGATTACACTTGGGACCCTAGAGACCCACACGATTTTTTTCGATCCCCCCGGTAGGCCGGTACGTACGGCTCGCATGCACGAGGATGCCGATCGATCGAATCACCGCACCTTATTACACATGCTAAACCCCGTAATTAGCTCGCATTCCCGTTCGAGTTTAGCAACGGATCGAGATCGACGAGCGCGACGCGGGCGACAGCGAGAGGCTGCCTGCTCCGACGAGACGCGTCGACGAATCGCGCGCATACGACGCGTACGTTTTGGTTGACTCTGGCGGTGGTGATTTTCACTGGTGTGCCCCGATCCCGCGGCGTGCAGCACACGATGTTGATCTGTGCGGCGCGCGCCTGGCTGTTTCCCGGCACGAGCACACGACTAGCAGCGTGAAAACGTCGGAATTTCTCGTGTGAAAATTGCTAAAAGACGGGTCAAATGAAAAGGGCCACATAGACACAGCATATGACAGCTTCAGCATTACAGCAATTTGCAGTTTTCCGATCTGAGTGCGGGCGCAGAAGAGGATTAACCTAAACAAACTAAGTACCATAATGCTAGCTCCAGCTGCAGTAACCTTATCCGGATAACAATTACTCCTACCTGCTACTACTACTACTGCTACTGCTAGCGTAGTGGTAATCCCTTCTTTAATTATCGATTTCTTAATGAATTGGCCGCGTGGAGGACCATCTCTTTAATGATCTACCAGTACGTCAAGATTTGGTTGGTTTATTATATCCTAAAACACTGCCTTCACGTTCTTGATAGCGCCGGGTCCACCCTTATAATACTGTTCGCCCATTATATTATTTATCTCTTTCCCATACCTAATTCCATCACCAGGACCAGATGCAGGATCAGTACGTACTAATATATGTTTTTTTTTCGCGCGAAAAGTCACTGTGCACATTGCTTTGATTATGTTATCCCGTCCGAGGATTTCCCCTTTTTGCAGATCGCGTGCTTTACTTTCTGATCAAGACTTGGAATAACACCTCACCTTCTTAGTACATTCTAACCTTCTCTTCATGATCCTGTCAAGCTTGTACAGCACAGCAGCAGTAGTCTAGCAGCAACTAGTAGCTGGGCAAAAAAAGAGAAGAAGATAATACTACTAAGTTAGCACTATTACTTTATTAGGCTGTATTCTTTTACGTGGGTTGGAACTAAAACCATATTTAGATGGGACTAAAACTTTTTATCCTTATCACATAAGATGTTTGGACACTAATTATAAATATTAAATGTAGACTATTAATAAAACCCATCCATGATCTTGAACTAATTCGCGAGACGAATCTATTGAGCCTAATTAATTCATAATTAGCCTATGTGATGTTACAGTAAATATTCTTTAATTATGGATTTAATTTGGCTTAAATAATTTGTCTCGCGAATTAGCTTTCATATATGTAATTAGTTTTGTAAGTAGTCTATATTTAATACTATAAATTAGTGTATAAATATAGACACTAAAGTTAAGTCCCTGAATCCAAACACCACCTAATCCTTCGTGCAGAAAAAAAGAACGTTAAATTAGTACATAATTAATTAAATATTAGCTAAAATACTTAAAAGATTAAGTTCTAAGTTAAAAAATATTAAGTATGGGTGTGTTTAGTTTACACTAAAATTAGAAGTTTGGTTGAAATTGGAACGATGTGATGGAAAAGTTAAAAGTTTACGTGTGTAGGACAGTTTTGATGTGATGAAAAAGTTGAAAGTGTGAAACTAAACAAGGCCTATATAAAAAAAATAGTGATCTCTTATGCTAACATTAACAAGCTAAAAGATTACCTTGGTTTCACTTATTGCGACTATATATTAAAAAACGATGTAAGCGTATCCGAGTAACGAACTTTAATTTTCATTTCTAAACCCGTATACTTAACTAAAAAAACCCGTATACTTAACTAAACTTAACTAAGTATAGAAAATGTGACGATGATCACTAAACTAACGAAGCTATTACGGGTATGGGTTAACGATATCGTTGTTGATTCCACAAGTTGGTAGCAAATCCGTACGGGCGGCCAATGGAGTTATAAATGGAGGCATGGCCCACTGGAGTACAACTACTCTATAGCTGTAGCAAAAGCCATGTTGCGAGTGGGGGCCAGGGGCACGCACCCGGTTGGCTTACGCGGCACGAAATACGGGCCGGGGGGAGAGAGAGGATAATGTGGCGGCGCCCCACAATCTTGCACTGTGCCTGCCATGCCGTCCCTCCATTCTTTTCTTCTCGTACTCCTTTTGCTGGGGACCACCGTTCCCCCGGCCGTGCTACGCTATTGGATAGGATCAACGCGTGGCTACTGTCCGTGATCCATTCATGGCCCACATTTATAATTAATGTTCCCATTTTAACTGTTTCCATCCCTGACTAACAAGCCCTAAATAACTATTCCAGTTAATTACTTTCTCGATTCTAAAATATAAGAACATACAACCGAATAAAACATTTAGGGTGTGTTCGAGGGAGAGAGGATTGGGAAGATACGCAAAACGAGGTGAGCCATTAGCTCATAATTAATTGAGTATTAACTATTTTA